CAACCTCTTTGTATAAGCATCCAAGGAGAAGAAATCCTAGCAATGCAGAAGTGATGCAAACATTGCAGGATTTACAAGCTCAAGTCCGTGAATTGCAGAAGGATAAAGAGAGATATATGGCGGAAAAGAAAAGTTCACAATTGAAAGAAACTAGTGACAAAACTAGTATCAACTGTCAGCATAAATTTCCCGAGGTAATTTTCAATATATATCAGTTATTATTATAGAATATTTTTAGTCACTTCTAACGGTTATTATTGGTTTAGGGCACTTCATCTTGCCAGCTATACCTATCGTCGCCGACATATCGACTAGTTGGCAAGGGAAAAGTCCATAACACTTCGGGAGATTTACTTCATAATAGACCGCTTCCGGATAGACACATGAAAGTATCGATTGACATTGCTTTAGATATGGATGCGTTGCTGCCGGTACCTGACATTGTTGATGAGACCACATTGCTGCGAGATGCAATAGGATCTTTTGTTGCATGGCCATCAGACCTCATTTTCATAGATGATCAGGTATGTTGAAAACAATTATGGATATTTAAGTCTTCAACTGTCAGTTCTGACCTCAGTTATTTCCACGGTAATTATAGACTCCTACAACACCCGCATCTAAGGGTAAAGGGATTTTGCGGCACGACGAGTCTGATGTATCACCAAAAGAGGTACGTTTAAAGTGTTAATTATATGATCCAAATCAAAAACTGCATAATTTTATAATTTAACTGAGTTTATATGATTTTTAGGTACCTTTTCATGGGTCACAACAAGTGAGCCAGAAAATCGTTGGCGTACCACCCAAGAAAAGGGTGCCTACTAGATTTTTCCCTCGATACCGGCAGTGTCTTGAAACAATAGTGGGAACAACAAATTTGATGGATGGTGGTATTCGTCAAATGGATATGGATCAAGGTATCTTTGGTTTTCCTTGCACCGAAATAATTGGACATGAGGACGTGGAACATATTTTCTGTCATAAAGAATTGGGCGTCAGTATTATGCACGCATACATCCGGTAACCCCATCTTTATATTATGTAATTAGCTGAAATCTTTTTTAAACATTTCAATGAATATACTCTAATATTAATTATGTTTTTATTTAAGGTTGTTATATGACAAATTGATGCGCGGGAATCAATTGTCAAACAGATTCCATTTCGTGTCTTCCTCCCGTGTCAGCGGAGCGACAATTGGTAGGGAACCGGAATCAGTAAGAGAGCACTTAGTAGAAAGATTCATGGCAACTGGAAGTACAAAAAGCTTATATCTTTGGGCGTATAATACTATTCCTACAGGGTTAGATTTTCATTCTAAGTTCATTTTAATATTTGTAATTTTTGCGTAGAAAAATTTCTTCTAAACTGTTGTTTTAATTTATAGACGTCACTGGTTGTTGGTTGTTATCGATCCTATAAAAGAAGTGGTCTATTATCTGAATTCGGTTGACGGTGATTGGACAAATTATCTGGATATGAAGTTAATGATTGATACGTAAGTGAGATTATTCTAAATATTTGTGTGTATTTATGTATTTAATTATTTCTGTGACATTGTTCTAAATATATATTTTTATTTTGTTAGAGCGATACAAGTATTCCGGTGTCAAAGAGAAGCTCGGGTACGACGGTCTAAATCAAACAACATTAATTGGATCAAAGTGCAGGTATATTAATTTCCACTATTTTGCTTATAATATTTACGCTATTTGATAAAACAATACAACTATATATTCTTATTTGTTTTTCTATGTAGTGTCCTCAACAACAAAACGGTATAAATTGCGGATACTTCGTTATGCGGTTTATCAAAGAAATCATTCAACTGAATCAAATAGAGATTCCAGTCACGGTATGGATTTATAACTTAGGATTTGTTTTATTATTTCTCGGATATTTCATATAATTTTTTACTTTTAACTAAATCATGCATATTATGTTTTGTTATGTAGTACTTCGATGAGTACAAATGTGCATATTACACGAAACTTCAGTTGGAAGAAACCAAAGAGGAGTTGTGTCAATATTTTATTGAGTAGAGAATCATATAAGGACTGGTTTAGTTGTTGTTAGGGTTGATTTTGTAAGACTGATTTTGAGTTACAATGCTGATAACAATGGTTTATATATAATTTGAGGTACAAAAATGGTGTATATATATTTTGGATTACAATGCATTACCGCTGTTTATGAATTACAGGTTATGGCAACTGGTTTATATAAATAATATGCTGCAAACAATGCAGGTATATGAATTATATAAATTATACCTCTAAAAAAAACACCCTATGAAAGCGCTTTTTGGAGATAAACGCTTTCATAGGTAGACCTATGACAGCGCTTTTTCACATAAAGCGCTGTCTAAGGTAAACATATGACAGCGCTTTTCCAAGAAAAAACACTGCTAAAAGACAACCTATGAAAGCTCTTTTCCAGAAAAAAGCGCCACCAATGAAAGCGCTTCTTCATAAAAAAGCGCTGCCAAAAGCCTACTTAAGAGAGCGCTTTTTAGAAAAAGCGCTGCCAAAAGCCTACTTAAGAGAGCGCTTTTTAGAAAAAGCGCTGCCAAAAGCCTACTTAAGAGAGCACTTTTTAGAAAAAGCGCTGCCATAAGGGTACTTAAGAGAGTGCTTTTTAGAAAAAGCGCTGTCATAAGTAGACCTACGAAAGCGCTTTTCATTAAACAAAAACCGCTGCTAAAACCTATAGCAGCGCCACCTTAGAAAGCGCTTTTAAAGGCCAAAAAAGCGCTTTCGTAGGTCTTTTTTGGCGTAGTGTTTTTAAACACACTTTGTGAAAACACTCGAAAACTGAAGCACTGCACTAAGATTCTCTGGTCGATCTCGCCAGTAAACTTTTGTTAAGAGACCAACTTTGTTTACCGAAACTAGAGATAAACACATCCATTATAAACTGGGAAAGAAAAAAGCAGTAGGTTGTCTTCAGGTCCTCATCTGAAACAAAATATAGAGTTTTAACCGACACATATTGTGAGGCTCAATGGTCACTATATTTATTAGAAGACTTCCATCCAAAGGTCACTTACACAACAATTGACATCAGCTGTAGCCATGATCATCCAAGGTTACAAGGGTTATATAGAAACCCTTATAGAATGCATCTCGATATCTAACTGTCAAAAATAATTATTTTTGGTTGTGATTTAAATATAGATTTATTTAAGGATTAATACACCTTTTGTCCCTTTCTATTTGGTGAAATTTCAAAAAATAATTCTGTAAAAAATACAGATTACACCCTTACTAATTTCAAAAATTTTGACTTTTGACCCCCTGAGTAGATTTGATCAAGGAAATATGTGACGTGGCTTTCTATGTGGCATTTTATTTATTTATTTTATTATAATTTGGATTATCCACATTAACTTTTTGTATTTTTATGTTTTTATTTTTATTTTATTTTTTGGCTTTAAGTCTAAAAATATGTAAAAAAAAAATAAAACTAAAATTGGTCCCATGGGAGTTTAACCCTAGATCTCCTTGTACATAACTCCTTGTGGTGCCTATACTACCACTGCACTACAACTGTCTATTTGTTAATTTTCCTCTTCAAATATGTTTTTAACATATACATTTTATTTTATTTTGAATTTATAATAAAAATAATGAAAAATATATATTACATATTTATATATTTAAAAATAATGGAATTTTATATACATTTATAGCAAGATTATATATAGTTGGAAATTATATATATTTAGAGAAATTATATATAGTTGAAAATTACTATACTTTTGTAAATAATATAAATTTCTCCCATGGTGTATTTTAAATCAAACTATTTCAATATTTATTTTAAATATATAATTAAATCATTCATATTTAATTTATATTAAACCGAAAGTAATATATATTAAATATATTTATTTAAATAAGCTTTCTGTTTTTATTTATTATTTAATATTAAATAGTTATCATTTATATTTAATATTTGAAATGATAATGTATTAAATATATTTTTGCAGTATTTCATTTACAAATATAACTTTTTACAAAAGTATATAATTTACAAAAATATATTTACAAAAATATATTTTAACTTTCAATATTCGTAACTAACTATAACTATATGTATTAGTAACTAATTATATAAATAAAAATAAATATTAGTTGGTTATATATATATATATATATATATATATATATATATATATATATATATATATATATATATATATATATATATATATATATATATATATATATATATATATATATATATATATATATATATATATATATATATATATATATATATATATATATATATATATATATATATATATTCTTTTTAATAATAATCACCATTTAAAAGATATGATATTTAATATCAATAAATTAAAATAATAAAATTAATTTAAAATTAAAATAAGTATATGAAATATGGTCAAATAATACTCATTCAAACATACATATGATTAAATAATACTTTCGTAAAATTAATTTGAAAAATAAATAATATCTATGTAGTATATTTATTTGATGCAAGCTATTATACAAAGAAAAACAAATAGTCTAGTGATAAGGTGTGATGCTATTATGCTAAAGGTAATGAGTTAAATACTCAATGGCCATAAAAAATTTTAATTTTTCAATTATTCTAACCTTAAAGAAATAAAAATATTTTTCGAAATCTCACCGAATGACAAAGACAAATATATATTAACCCCTTTATTTAATTACACACCTTTCCTATGATATCTATATTTTGTTGAAGTAGAAAGCAAAGAGAGTACTCACTTATTTATTACATTAAGAGAATGAATCAAACAACACACATTTTACATAATGTTGTGAAAACAACAGAAGAAAACCACCACAGTTATGGAGCAAACAATTACCTGCCACAACTTAATTATTACCACAAACATGATATTTACATTGTGTAAAGGAAAAAGTAAACATTAAAACACACGAGTTTCTTCACGAATCTTAGTGAACAATTCTTCATTTTCTTTAAGTGACACGAGATTAGGGATAGTAATGTAATATGTCATAAAGAGCAGGCCAAACATCATTAGTTAACTTTATTCTACCACCCACAATAAAATCACCATCAGTTTTGTTTGGTGCAAAATTTATACGTGCAAAATATTCTCCTTTGAAAATGTAAGCTTCATCTTTCACGTGAGAAGAAAAAGCAGCATCAATTCCATACTCAAATACCGTACCAACCAAACTACGAAAACCATTTCCAATAGAGTCATGAGATATAATATCCTCAGAGTGAAAGTCTATAACGTAATATTCAGCTCCTTTGAATAAGAAAACATGTTTCTCAGTAGATCTTATTGCAGCATCTATTCCATTTATAAGCGGTGTATCCTTCAGATAAGGAAACATGACAGGGATTGGAATATTACCTGCAGTAAGTAAACTGCACTCAGATGAATGTGCTGCTACCTTCATTTTGGCACATTGATTTCCAGAAAAAATGTATCCATCATTTGCTTCAGCGTTAAAGGCACAATCTATTACATTTGCAAAAGGTATTTGAGCGATCATTGATCCTTTAGAAATAAGACTCGGCGCTTCAATAACGTCTTTTTTTGTCTCTCCAGGAGCATAATTCAAAACTATAAACTTTTCTTTCACGAAAATGTAACATTCATTCAACTTGGGTGACCGAAATGCAGCATCTATGTTATGATATGGCATTGTTTTCTTTATCTAAGGTTTATTTATTTATTTATTTGGAAAGGGATATGCCATCTTTTTCCTTTAATTTGTGAATGACTCAGTTTATATAGATGTTACCGGCTTACACGTCTGGGCACGTTTGCATGTGACTAATCATGGAAGATTGAGGTTAATTGTTTACAGTTCTAATATGTACTTGAATATTAATTAAGGTGCCAGCTAAAAATGTGGGATATAACATGTTTTTCATTTCATTTTGAGATTTCTCTATATTATAGTTGCAACCAGTTCATACTTAGATGGATAATGCAAGAGAAAGATCCAGAAGCTTAAATACAACTAATAATGACAGCTTTGTTGTCTTTAAGCAATTGGCTATATCAGTATGTTTGAATATAATTATGAATAACGTTAAGACAACAACTTCAACTTGCTCAATATATATTAAAGAATAACCAAGGAAATGAAGAAAGTCTTCTCTTTGACTTTATGTCATGTTATACAATAAGCCTCGACTTAGAGATAATTTTATTGGGAAGAAAAAGAAAAGGCCCTTAATCTCTAGGGTTCAACAAACTCTAACATATACACACATAGTCTCTCATAATGACCACGTGAGCAGCTTCTCCTTTTTCACACTATTGTATGTTTAACAAATATAATTAACTTTACTGTGGGGACCAGTTAAACTGACATGGACCATACTAATCTTCAATTTGTATGTCGTCTCAGTCATCTTCTCTAACATGATGACAAGAGGAGGCACCATGACATCTTTCAAATTGACAACATTCATTTACGTCGTCGATGTCCAGTCTCACACCAATGATCTTATAGTCATAACAATGTAGCAGGACAATTGGAATATAAAACGATATTGATTAATCCGGAAAGCTCAACTGGTGTCCTATTCTAGGATGCATTCGAAAGGCTCAGGTTGGATCCAAATAACATCCAAATGTTCCAAAGTTCACTTGTCGGTTTCTTCAGCGATCACTGTTGTCCTTATTGATTTCAATCACATTGGACTTATGCTTCACATTCATTTGCATTAAAAACAGTCATTCATATCATGGATTCCTAAAAGCATGAGATCACAATCTCTTTGTAATCAGGGTTTTGAGAATGAGATACTCATCTGTCAAAGGTTTGGATCCTCATCATGATCATTTCTATCAAAGCACAAGGATCATCAACATCATCTCATGGTCCTCAAAGATATCTCAAGGTGTCAAGGATCTCATCATAATCACAAGATTTCTTGGGCTGTAGATGATTTGGATTCATCTGGTAAAAAGTCAACTACAAAGTTAAACTTTGACTTTCAGAATTTTTTGGTCAACCATGTACTTCTCAAGCCAAGAATTATGAAAGTATGAGTGATAAAGTCATTTGATCAAGTTTAATCAAGAAAATTAAGAGAAAGAATAAAAAATGCAAAATTGGGGTAGTGAGAATTTCACTAAGTCCTTAAACTCTCATGTTCAAATGTACTACTTTGCGAGCTGGTAACTTCTTTGTCAAACAACCATTTTTCTTGCTCCAGTGATAAATTTGAAGATAATATTTCATACTACAACTTTTTCAGAGAGGAATGATCTCCAAAAATGTATGGACAAAGAGATATGAGCTCATAAAGTCATGACTTTATTAACCAACACATAGAGAACATTTTCCATCATCCTGACATTGCCAAATAGCTGAATTTATGGTCATTTTTCTCTATGATTTCAAGTGATTCGAGTAAACTGGTCAACATTAAAGTTGAGACAGAAGAATCGAAGAGAAGAAGGTGGCATCCCAAGGATGAATTTGAAGTCCATTTTGTTATAAGTTCATGTGCAAACTCAAAGTCTAAACTACATAATCCACAAGATCTTGCATTGAGACCTCTAATACTCAAGACTTATGATGTTTAGGATGCTTTAACATTTTATTATTCAAGGAGTCCAAGCATTAACCAAGTTTCACACCATAAATGGACCACAAACATACAATGGTTTGTGTCAAAATATCCAAAATCTTACTTTATGATCTTGAGCCTTTTGAACCTGAATTTTATCTAAACACACTCCACATAAATCATCTAAAACACTCCACCAAAGAGTATCTAAGAAGCCATGCCATTTTTGTTTCTTCACCATTAAGCTACATCACACTTTTGGATATTTTTTTTGAATTTGAATCAAACCAAGTTGTTTCATGTTTGAAGTAATCCAAATCACTTCCATAGTCTCAATGCATTCACTATAAATAGAGATTCAAGCCTCAAGTCTCAACACACCAAAATTTTCACAAGAACACCATTGTTATAAGTTTTCACACCATAAACTTCCATCTTTCAACCCACTAGTGTATTCTCTAAATTTCTACCTCAAACACCTTTCATACATAAAATACAACACATCCGATAAACCCCACTGTAAATATTCAAACGATTTGCTCATGTGAGTTGCAAAAGGAATAAGAGATTATCTTGGAATGAGATGGTATTTACTAACATTGTCAAGCTATTCACTCTCTTTCATGTTTACTTATTTAAACTACCTTTCATGCTTTGTATTTCTAAAAACTTATAAATTTAAAGTTATGCTTTGTATTTCTAAAACTAACATTCAAAGCTTTCACCACTTTCAATTAAAAACTTTGATTTCATGTCATTTCATTTTCAAAATTTCTTTATTTAATAAATGATTTAATACACCTAAGCATGTTAAACAATTTCAAAAAGACAAAAAAAACATTAGGACCTCATCGACGAGAAAAGATTGGAAGCCATCTGTTACAGGCAGTTATACCAAAGAAGAATGAAGAAAGCCTTTGATAGAAAGGTGCGTCCTTCGAATTTCTAGGGTGGTGGCCTAGTGTTGAAGAGGATTCCGCCTTTCAATAATACAGATGCCAGGGGCAAGTGGACTCCAAACTATGAAGATCCATACGTTGTAAAGAAGGTTTTCTCTAGAGGAGACATGATGCTTGCAACTATGGACGAAGAGGATTTTCCATTCCCTGTGAATGCAGACGCACTCAAAAAACACATCGCATAAAAAAATAGACTAGCTAAGTCGATGACTTAAGAAAAAATGGGCATCCCGGCGGACAAAAAAAGAATAAGGTTCGGGAAAAAATTAGAGATAAAAAGGAAAAGAATAAACCAAAAGAATTGAGTACACCCTCTAAGTTGAAAATCTGAAAAGGAAACTTAAGCAAAAATGGAAATCTCGGTGGATCGAAAACCCGAAAGGGAGATCCAGGAAAAAGTTTGGAATTTAAAGCGAAAGAAGGAATGATGCGTTCAATATGTAAAGTCACATCATTACAACATTTGGAAACCCATAAAGGTAGGAATCAGTCCAATCATCTTCTTCAATAAAGCGAAGTATTGAGAAAGTCGAAGACATGAGAGTTATAGCAGAATCAGAATCCGGTGAAGATTCATGATCACATTTCCATCTCTGTAATTTTCCTTTTTCTATGTGCATGCAATTACCTCTCTTAGGAATTACTCCCTAATGTAAATTCCTATTTACAGGCCAATCAATTAATAAAGTTTTCTTTATTCAAATTTTGTCTTTTTGTTTTTATTTTTACTATTTTGTTTGCAAAAACGTCAGATATTTTTTTTATAAACATTGCATTTAAAAACATTGAAACTTTACAAAACATGATTAAAAGCGATTGAAATTGTTTGATATGTTGAGTGTCCAGGGTGATAGCCATAGCTACCATACCATACTTGAGGCACGTTGATGTTATTTATTTTGCAGGAACTGTCGTTTCCTTATGGTAAGCAATATACTAGTACATAAGCAAGAATCATCAAGGTTGTTACCAGTAGGAAGTTCTTGGTTTGGATTCCCCAGCAGGGTGTGGGAAGAAGTTTCCTTAGGCAGAGTATTTTCTCCCCAGTAGAATTGACACTTTGGAGGATTCATTACAAAGGTATTTCATTCCCCAACAAAAGCTTGTCTATTAAGAGTTTCTTGTCAGGAATTCTTCTACTCCCGAGTAGAAAATACTTCCCCAACAGAAGCTGGTGGTTAATTTGTCCCCAACGGAGTTCACTTTATTGAAGTTTCTTGCTTAAGAACTCTTCTACCCCCAACAGTGTTTTGTTGTTGAGATTCGTGTTCTCTTATCTCCGTTAGAAGATTGTTTTTCAAGAGTACTATGAGATAACTCTTGTATCTTCAGCAAGGGGTTTGAAAGATCACTTTCTCCCCACACAGAGAATTATTCCTCAGTAGAGTTCGGTATTGATATTTCTTACTTAAGAATTCTATGATCTCCCATAAGAGCATATATGTAAGAGTTCTTCTTCAAGAATTCTTTATCCCCAGTGGAGGTTGCATTTCCAAGAGTTTCATGACAAAGCTCTTTTATCTCCCAGCAATATAGAAATAGTCTTTATCCTCATCAGGATGAGATATTGGATTGTTCCTTAAGCGGCTTGAAGTTTGGTTTGAAGACAAGATTAGCTTTATCCATCACCACTCACGATTTTGTGATATCCCTGCAAGTCCAATGATCATTGGTATTCCCAATATAGCCAATTGTCATTGGCATTTGTGTTTCAGATGTTGCATTTTTTTTGCATATCCCCATAGAACGAGCAAGTTATATTGTGTATTTTCTCAGAGTTTTCTGTGTAGTGCAATTCTTCACCAGAGTTGATAACTCAAATCATGATTGGCATCCTATTGTTACTCCTCGCAGAGAATCAGGATATTATATCCTATCCTCAGAAGTTACTTATTATCTTGCAAGTTCCCCGATAGGACATCATATCATGCATCATGGTATTGCATCACTTAAACATGTAGCATTTTCATTGTTTATGGAGCATTGCACCGTAGAAAAATTAAAACATGCATTGAAGCATAAGCCAGTTCTACTTCTTGAAGTCCTTCATGTGGATATATCCCCAGGAGAGTAAATCTCTTAAGGTATCCTGATACATAGCCCATTACCAGTTTGTTGGTCAAAGAATGCTTGTTTGTTAACTCAATAAATAACCC